TGTAGAATACTCAGGGAACACAGCATCCCACACTGGAAAAAAGTACAGGAGACTAGCTAGGGCTATGACCATCATAAGCTTACAAAGCAGCCTGCATTAACATATGTTACAGATGGTGGATAAGGTTTCTAGCTTAACTATTTTTCATAACTGGTTTAATATTCCCAATCAGGAGGGCAAAACCCCTACACATGTAAGGGGACCGGCGACCCACAGCTGCTCCACTCGACCCCCATCACAAAACTCCTATATCCTACCCCACAATCTCTCTCTCTCACACACACTCTAGTACTACACACATAGGAACGCACAATGCATCCCTTACACACACACACACACACACACACACACACACAGTAACAAACACACACAGTAACAAACACACACAGTAACAAACACACACTGCAGGTATTTCTTACACCAGACCTGCACAACCTGCAGCCTGCCAAAGGATTTTGGGTGGCCCGCGAGGATTGGGGTGGGGGGTTAATAATTTAGTATTCGGCAACTATGGCAACAATACATTACACGTGTTCTTTTGCATTAAAGATATAAAAATATACATTTATCACCTGTTGCAGTAGCTTCGTTTCTTTTTGTTTGAAGATTTCCACCTCCTAAAATCTCAAATGTGGTGCCATAATTTTTACCAACGGCGTTATCCAAATAAATCCACTGCTTTTCAAAAATGATTTTTCTGTAAATGAGAGCAGAAAAAATTAGTACAACAAACATGATGGGGAGATACATAAAAATATTGCTGACAGGAAAGTGAATAATAGGTTTGAAACACTAATTAGCCATCACAGAATCAAAAGTATTCAATATGTACATCCCACCTTTTCCCTCAATGACCGTTCTACTTTGTGACCATTTTATAACTCACTCCTAACATGTATGATGGTCACATCTGTTTCAAACAAATAGAAATTGGAAAAAAGCAGTACTGGCACACAAGTAAATATCTACAAATCCACAAATCTATTTTGTTCACATTTTGGACTCTAATTGCCGTGTCCATCAGGCTTATCCATTCAAGTTGTGGACATCTGCTTTACTGAAACATATATATATAATCAACGTTAAACTGAACTTGTCATGACAGCTGAAATTGCCCCCAATGGCTTTGAATATAGAATTTATCACCTGCAGCTCAGTGGCTTTCACAACTGTAACACCAATTACCGGTCATTCCTTTGTCTTGGCCCAGACTGGCCCAAGGGAATCCAACTCTAAAAACATCAACACTGGCTACAATGCCACTGGGCTAGTGACTCCATTCCTAGAAGCACTGGCTAGGGTGTAATTGCTATGCTCTGGGACAGGATGACCACTTGTAGGTGGGTTCTGCTGCTTCACTTGTCAGTCATTTATTCACCATATAAATCATTGTCCAAAAATGACGGACAGGTAGGGGAGGATTATGATTTTCTTTCAATCTATACATTTTGGAGCAATTTTGCAAGCATAAAGTATAGATTAAATTTAGTGTATATTAAATTAGAGTTGTGTACACCAAGACTGGCTAGATTTGAAGTCATGGCATTGCAGCTCATTTATGCTACAGATAAACAGTACTCAAAATGACACTTTTACAGTTACCTTTAACCTAGAAAAAAAAATAATAGGATATACTGTAATTTTGTTGTAAATGTACAATTGCTTGAATCTTAATTAAAAATGATGAGGCACAAAAACTGAATTTATATTGGCTGTTTTACCTATATTTGATTCATTACTCAAGTCAGTGCTAACAAGTAAAAAAAAACACCTTATGGTTCCATGAATGTTTGATAGGGTTATAATTTTGCTTTAAACATTCTAAAGGGGATTCAAATTATATTAGTCATTCCTACTCTCTGCGTCAATCAAGTACGATTCTAATTTCTAACATGGTTTACATGGACTATGTGTTGTTAAAAGTTTGTTAATTTAAATGGTCAGTAAACCCATCCACTTAATATATGACAGATGAGAAAAACTCCCAAAACAGTCACAAGTACATACGCACACCATTATAGAGGAAAATAAAGGGTGAAACATTAGAATTTTCTACTTCTGCATACACAATCTCTTCAAGAATAACTCACCTTTGATCAGGCTTATTTTTAAAGGCTTGGCAGCCATGTGTGATTACTAATGTAAGTCACTATACACGCTAAAGAGATATAGATCTGTTCTCTGCAGAGTTACTCCAAACAGCATGACCCCTTCTTTTTGAAGTGGTCATGGTGGTAGTATTCTAGATGTGCAGTGTTTCTGTTTGAAACACTGTGCATTAAGAGTAATTTGTACTTCTGTGCCAAAGGCAAGTTTCCCCCTCAGCACATGTGACTTAGGCAGCACAGAATTCTGTTCCAGATTGTCTAATTGACACCCCCCTGTATGTCAATCAGACACCAGGTCCTGTTAATTCCTGGTTGTTTAGCTCAGCTGAGCTAAGTTTAAGAGGTAGCAATTGCCTTTCGAAGGGTTCTCTGCCTTAGTTACTCTGAGCACGAGAAGCATTTTCATTAAGAATGCAAAGTATGGACCATAGGACCCCAGTACTTCTCTATGGGAAAAATTAGACTGGCCCAAGAGAGACACATTAGTGGATACCTACCGAGTTGGAGCTGAGCTGTGGTTTCTGCCATTAGAAATGGATATAGATTAAGAAACATTCTAGCACTACAAACACTAGAATGTGTGCTAATGCAACATTGTCATGCTAGCTAGTTAGATTCAGCCCCCTCCTTCCCCAGAAATTAGAAACTAAAGTTATTCATTTACGCTGCAGCCGCCACTCCTATGCTGGCTTAGATCATCAATATTGAAGATCTCAGCCAATCCAATGCTTCCTCATATGGAAGCACTGGAGTGTCATGAGTGACAATCACTAAGCCAATCAGCATCTCCTCAGATACATCTCTACGGGGAGCTTTCAACAAAAGTCAGTCTTGCAATCTTTAGAGGACAGCAACCAGGAAGTCCCTCTAACCCCTCTGAGTGACAGCCACTAGAACCATACTTTTAAAAAACAAAGCTGTTCCTTTAAGTAGTGAAGATTTTTCAATAAATTACATTTAGTCAGCAAACGTGTTTTTATCTTCATATAAATAGAATAAGACATTGATATGAAGTGTCTACAAGAAATAGTGGAAGTGCACTCAACCCTTTATCCAGGAATACAGGGTGCTCCAATGGACAAGTCCCAGTACAAAATTATTAATTGTAGAAAGTAATCCAGGCACTCCAATGAATTCCAAAATTATAGGCAATTAGAACCAGGAACTACACAGCAATAGTGATGTCGCGAACTTGCCGCGAACCGTTCACCACGAACTCCGGTCAGCTGACACATCCCTGCCAATCTCCGGCAGACCCTCCCTCCCAGACCCTCCTACTTCCTGGACAGCATCCATGTTGAAGGCAGCTTCAACATGGATGCTGTCCAGGAGGTGGGAGGGAGGGTCTGCCAGAGATTGGCAGTGATGTGTCAGCTGACCGGAGTTCGCGGCAAGTTTGCGAACGGTTCGTGACATCACTACACAGCAACGTTTCAACCCCTTAGGATCTTTTTGATATGAAGTGATCTGGATAACCATTTTGTTTTTTAAAAAAAATGTGCATTATTTGGGATTCTTCTTATAATATAGAACTAAGCATCCCTTAGCATTCTAATAAAAAGTGTACTGTGTGCACACTCAAACTGGAAGAATTAAGAATTCCTTGGCATGATATTCTGAGGGAAGCCAAGTGTTACCCAATGTATATCCCATTGTACAGCGCTGCGGAATTTGCTGGCGCTATATAAATAATACAAAATAATATAAGGGGAAAGGGACACAATTCAGCTATTCCTCTTCTCAGGCATGTGTCAACTGTACCACAAAAATTATTTTTGTTCATTTACAGCAAGACAACAAATCTTAGTGAAGTTCCTCCTGAGCAGGGTTCTCCAAAATCCCTCCAGATGTTGCTGAACTACAACTCCCATTGTTTTCTGGCTAACCACATTATTCAAAGAATTATGGGACTTGTTGTTCAGGGACATCTGGAAAGGCCAGAGTTTGGAAAATCCTGTTTTACAGTAAAAAAAATAAATCAAAAAACAAAATCCAGCTTGCCATTGTAGGAGGGACTCTGCACACCAACTTGAGTACCACACGTTATCCATACACAATGACCTGCTCATATTCAGCATGTCCCTGAATTGGACAAGTGTGACCCCCTGCATTAACAACACCTACTGTTTGCATCATAAAAAATGCAATTCTGGGAGTTCAGGTTTAAAATTTTAGGCTGCAGTAGATACAGTAATATCTAATCCAGAGCTGTGTTTCCAGGCCGTCTATCTCAGCACAACATTTGGAATCCCTTATAATACAGAAATTAATAATAATAATAATAATAATGTAGTCATGGCTCCAAGTCCCCATGCTGGACTCACTTTCTCCTCTGCACCTGGACCGCTTTAAACACATCCTCCCTCTTCAGTACCACGAAGTCTCCCTCCCCAATCAGCTCCCCGATCAGCTCCCCGCCAGCCGGCACACTCTCCTCCATAGCGGCTCTCCTCTCTGCACTCCCAGCCCAGCGCTCAGAGCAGCAACAACCCACGTGCTCCCTGAACACACCGCTTCCGGGTTCTGCAGGCAAGGCGAGGGGGAGAGCGGCCGAGCGCCGAGCGCATCGAACGCCGAACGACTTGCTCGGCCAGCGTCACGTGACAAGTAATGCCAACTCGCCGGCATCAAAATAAGAATAAACCCAGTGATTCCTCCTTCTTGCCGCCCTGCTACACCCACTGTGATGTATTTACATGGCTGACGGACATTGTTTAGCCAGTAATCAGAACGTGACCTTGGGTTGGCATTTATACCCAGCATTTTGTGATAATATGTATGTCAATGTAGTGAGAGAGGGCACAGTGACGGGAAATATATGGTTTTTTTTACAGTATAAAAAAATTGTTTTTTTTTTGTTGTTTTTTTTTTTTTTTTAATGGTCCGGTTGCTATGGCAACCGGTGCAGGCCTGACGCACGAAAGTGACGTCACGCCGGCGGTAAACTAGAACTGCTGGCAGAAGGGGAGCAGAGAGTGAAGGTAGAGTATAGTCATTGCAGCAGCAGATACTGACACCAGGCCTGTGGGGGTTATTCACTAAACTGCGAATTGGCAGACATTCAAAGAGAAGGTTAACTTTTAGGCCAAAATAGCTTGATTTGGATATGGAGCCATGTTGGCACCGACACTTTTTCAGATTTATTTGCTGATTAGGGGAATGTGGTGAATTTAAAGCTTAATAGTGAATTCGCAAAGTCCCCCAATGGTGACACCGCCGCTGGTGGTCCGGTGGCCACGGGGTGGGGGGAGTAGGAGGGGGGCAGATAAAGGTGAGCTTACTTATCGGAACTTGTCCCTTGCAGGCGCTGCTCTGCGTCAACTGCACCAGGAGCCAATGTCACTGCCGTACTCTTGCGCATGCGTGAGAGTTCAGCAATGAGGTCTGTGGGGGATCCCGAGAGACCCCGGGATCCTCCGTAGACACAGCCATTTCCATGGGACTGACTCTTAGACTCCGCTTTGAGTCGAAGAAAGTCAGGCGGAGTAGAAATACAGAGACAAAGTATCCCCTACTGTGTATGTCTTTTGACTGGGTTAGAATTTCAGGGATATTCCAACACAGTCATAATGAGTATTTCACAAAGATTCTAACTTTGAAATATTCATTTTTTTTTTTTAAGGGGAGCATGACAGTGCCCCTTTAAGGCAAAATGTACGGGTTTGGAAAACTTCTTCATCGCTGCTACTGTCACAGCACGGGCTGTTTCAGTTTAAATGTCACAGGCTGGTTTTAAAGTCACTGCAATTTGATGTTTAGTGAATAAAAGCCCCTCTGAATTTGTTACCATTCACCGTGATTTAACCGGGTGTAGTTTTAACCATTAAAAGATTAAATTGAAAGGAAAAATGCAAAATTTATGCTCAAATAGCCAAGTTGTGAATATAATGTGGTTGCAGAATTTTTGCAAATCAGGTGTTGTTGCATAAAGTTAGCATTTTGGGTTTGTATTCGTTGAGCTTATTCTCTAAACGTCAAGTTATAACAAATGAAATATGAATGGCAAGATTTAGGCTAATATAGCCGAGCTGTAACTGTAACCTAACTGGATAATTGTTACGGATCACCTGAAACAATTTTGATTTCTGTGCTGTTGGTAGACCCTGGTTTGTGCAAAACAACCTGAAAATGGTTTAATACAAACCAAGGCGATGATACCCAAAGGCCCTTTTGCACCATGAAAACTTCAATTAGCTGTAGCTAGATATGGTGCATACTGTCCCTTTAAAGAACACTCCAAGCACCATAACCACCGCTGCACACTATAGTTGTTATGAATTCAGGACATACCTGGTACAAACCTGGGTTCCTAATTTCACAGATATTACTAAAGTAGAAATCTATACTTTAGGTAGCAACTCTAATTCCATTTGTCTTTGGACCACTGACATCGATCAGCAATGAATTCCATCCAAAGTTGGACATATTTGATACTGATAAAGAGGAAGAGAAACTTCTGCTATGAAAAAAGGCTGTACAGCTGCCCCTGAGGAAGCAGATAAATGTGAGAAAGAGCCAATCGTGGACTATGTGTGTCTGACAGTGAACTAGACTATACAATAACAGCTACATTGTGGCTACTAAACATTTACAGAACAGTTCCACTTATTATCAGAAATGATTTAAGGGATACCAGTTTCCTCCTGGTGTGGGAGTTTCTGCATCCAAACCCACTAAACAGGAGGGAACCTTGGAAGAATGCATGTTTGTTGCGTTTTGTTTTTGTTTGTTTGTTTTTTGACCTATTTTTTAATCCCCCTCGGTTTTAAATCTGTTAAATAAACGTTCAAGGGTGCATTTTTACCATCTGTCTGAATTGCACTTATTACATTTTAAAATAAAAAATGTATTGTTGTTGTGTTTATTTTTAAACCTAAATGTTTTCAGGCTTCCAGCTTCATAATCCGAGCTCATCCTTGCACAGGTTCCCTTAGGAGATTTTAGGGAATTCTTGGTTAGTGCATTACATTGATTTAAAAAATGTTGTACCATCTTTCCTGGAAAATAAGACCGTATCTTATATTAATTTGTCCCCCGAAAAATGCACTAGAGCTTATATTTGGGGGATTTTTTATTTCTGGGGGAAAAACAGTAGCAAGCATGTGCTAGAATCAAGTCTATGTTTAGGTGAATTCCCCCGAACATAGACCAGTTAACTAGGGCATGGAATCGGGGGAAACTTTCCCGAACATAGATTAGTTTACTCGCTAATAGAATACTGCAAATCTATGTTCGGGGAAATTTCCCCGAACATAGATTAGTTTACTTGCAAATGGAATCTTGCATATCTATGTTTATGGAAACTTTCCCGAACATAGACAAGCTTACTCGCGAATGGAATTCCTCAAAACTTTGTTCATGGAAAATTCACCGAACATAGATTAGCAAATTAGTGACCAGCAACTAGGCCTTATTTTCAGGGTAGGGCTTATATTTCGGGCATCCCCCGAAAATAAGCTAGGGCTTTTTTTCACGGGATATCTTATTTTGGGGGGAAAACGGTATGTAGTGGATAGTCATGTGTACACTTCAGAGAACTAATAGGAAGTAGACAAAAGAGTGGTGTAAAAACAAGAAATATATATTTTTTTATTTCTTACCTTTCACATTTGCTGACATCGATCAGCAATGAATTCCATCCAAAGTTGGACATATTTGATACTGATAAAGAGGAAGAGAAACTTCTGCTATGAAAAAAGGCTGTACAGCTGCCCCTGAGGAAGCAGATAAATGTGAGAAAGAGACAATCGTGGACTATGTGTGTCTGACAGTGATATGTATTGGATAGTCATGTGTACACTTCAGAGAACTAATAGGAAGTAGACAAAAGAGTGGTGTAAAAGCAATATATATATATTTTTTTTCTTTCTTTTCACATTTGCTAATCATCCTTTCAAGGTTGCCATCAATTCCTGTACTAGTAAATGTTGTGCCAGGTGTTCCCCATTAAAATATTAAACTGATCACTGTTTATTATTTCTGTGTTTCTCTTGAATATATAGTGATGAGCCAGAGTTGGAGAGGAGGAGATAGAGGATGGAGAGGGGGTGGCAGTCATTACTCAGGAGGCTGGAGAGGTCGACCCTGGAGCGGGAGAGGCAATGGGAGAGGACAAGGTGGAAACTGGAATAGTAATGCTGGAAGAGATTCTGCTTGTAAGTGTATCATTTCATGATAACAGCTATAATGTTCTGAGATGCCTCACAAGGGACGTAAAGCACCAAAAACATTCGCTTAATAAAGTGGTTTTGGAGTACAGGTCATGCTCCTGTAATCTCACTGTTAATTTCTCTGCCATTTAAGAGTTAGTCACTTTGTTTATGCAGCCCTAGCCACACCTACCCTGGCTGAGACTCACATAGCCTCTGTACACATTTCCTGGAAACTAATGTAACATTTTTAGCTTTCCTTATTACATTCTGTTTAGAAGTTCTTATGTTGTGCTCTGTCAATAGTGTGCTAGAACTTGCATCAGTCTCCTGTGTGTGATTAATGTTCAATTAACAGAGCAGGAGATAAATACTTCTAAAGTAAACAGACTGCTGTAAGATGTGTGTGAAAATGAAACTTTTGTTTTCATGGAGACGATGTGAGTCCAGCCTCCCTGATAGCATGAAACACCCAAAACACCAGTAAACTCACTGATAATGCAGGACTGGACATTCTCTGCCTGCTTCTCCTCTTCTGAGATCATCTATCCAGATGATCTCTGGTTCATTTGAATGCTTCACATAGAGAAGCAGTGGGAACCTACTACACAATCATGACAATCATCGCACATTCACATTCTTTGGCACACATATAGCACTGATTACCAGCAGCAGCCTGTTCCGCACTCTCTTCCCATAAACAGCGTGTGGACTGCCGGGATATGATGTCAAGCTGGATCCCAGTGGCTTTTTGTCCAGAGCATCGTTAGGAGTGGCAGCAGCCACTGGTGTGAGCCACCAGTGAGCTGCAGCTGGTTCCGGTAAGGTGTTTCCGGATAAGCCAGTCCGTCTTTTCTCCTGCTGGAGATACACTCCCTGCCCGGCAACAACTCTCCCCCTAAGGCAGCACTGCCATTTGCCAACTACAGGGCTAGAATAATACAACAGTCTTCCTGCCTGTTACCCAGAACGGCATGTCCTGGGCACCAGATGATGTAAATTCCACATCCTTGGAACATCCTAATGTTGGGAAGGGGTTAAATTTTAGAACTTGAAGAATATTTCTATTTTTATTTTTCAATTCTTTAGCATAACAAAGGCCATTTTTTTATCCTGCACACATTTTTTGTTACTGCAGAGGTAAATAGCAATCTATTTATTTTAACATTTTATAGCCTCATGCACAAAAGTAAAAATAAATCCTGAATTCTTTTTCCAGGTATATCAAGTGCTAAACCGCGATTAACACAGACTACACTGGACAAGTACATTCCGTACAAAGGCTGGAAGCTTTATTTTACTGAAGGTACAAATGAAAGTGCAAATTATGACTCATTCTGAAGATGCAATAGAATCCATTCAATATGCAGTTATATATGATTGAAGAGAGCTACTTGCTTTTAATAGTATCAATGAATGACTGCTATTTATACCTGATCAATCATTTTAAATCCCTGATTGCTTTGTCTTTTTTCACCAATCTTGATGAACAACATTTTCAATTTGTGGCCTTGACTAATAGTGTCAAATGTTAGGGCAAAGGGACAGTGTGTCCGCAAAACAAATAGATTTGTTTTAGTGCTACAGATCCATTTAATCCTCTAGGTGATGTCACAAATTGTGTTTGATTACACTGAGAGAAGTCTGGGCTAACTGCCAAATATATAGTCTCTAAACTGTAATTATTCAGTGGCCATAAAATTATAATCTTTAAAACATTATTTTGAATTGTTGGCAAAAAAAAAAAAATCTCTAGCATGATGTGCCCAACATTAAAGACAGCAGCAATGAAGACAAAAATGTGAAATGGGAACACATCAATTTATCAGGTATATTCTTTCATTCATGTATATTGCTGCTCTGACAGTAACATATTCCTTTTTGTTGCTATGTTACCAGATAATACAATGGAACGATTTTTCAGATTGTCAATCAGCATGTGCAGAGATGATCTTTTGCTTTTGAATTGGTAATGACGACCCCTTTGTCACTAACGCCATAGTCTGTCCTCTGCTACATAGGAACAAAAGAAAGGGCACAGCTTTCCCATCTGCAGTTTTTACTTTTTTTCAGGTGTATATGTAGAGTTTTTTGGATATATTTTTGTAGAGTACAAAAGTAACAAGTAACACTTGGTTTTTGTCATCTGGAGGGGGTAATTAAAAACCAAAATAATCACTCACTCACAAAAACAGTTATTTTTATTTTTATTTTTTTTTGTTAAACCTATAGTTTGTACTAAGTGAAATATGATCCAGTATCCACCTGTTGCTTTACATTTTCAAGACTTCTCTTTCAGCCTATGGCATTGTGGGTAAATAGTCAATCAGCGTTCAGAGAGTCCAGGATGAGTCCTATAATAGTCTACCTAGAATATTTGGTTTTTTTTCTGGGTTTTCTCCAGTGCAGTGCGTCTATGATTAAAAATGTTTAATATTTTGTCCAGTGCAATGGGCGTAGTTTATCAGATCTGGAATATTATTGTTTGAATTACGCTCCAGTTATGTAGATCGTTTTCAAATATGTTCGAGTGGTAGACAACTTTGAAGGGGTGAGCTTTCTTAAAGCTTCTTTAGACTGAAATTTCACTTTAAGAGGAAACAAAATTGTGATCACAAATTAATACCTTTTGATTTATGTCTAGGTTTGCCACAGATGTGCTCCCAAATTGCTAAATTGTGAGAAAATATCTTCAAGTGTAACCTAATGTTGCCATTGTGGTATTTTCTAAATGCAGTTTGGGAGATCAAAATGTCCCATACAGTAGTCCCAAATGAGAAAATTTGAATCAAAGTGATACACTGCTAAAATATCTGAATTCCATACAAATATTGGGGGACTGACATCAGGTATCAGTTATGCAGCTGCACTTTGAATCTGCCTATTAAGAGACAAAGCTGTATTAGATTTCATAAATAAGTGAGTGAGCTGTATAATGGTGCACATTCAATGAATAGTTATCCCTTTCTCCACAGAACCTGCACAGTAAAGTATCTATTAAAACAAGTATAGCCCATCTATGGGATAACTGAATAGGGTTGACCTAGGTTCTTTCCTGGTTATTAAGGGGTTTCATAGGCTTGCATCTCCTCATCCTTCACTTTGTTTGGTGGAGGGATAAGACAGAACTTGGATCTCTTTCCTTGTTTTATGATGTCCAGAGAGCCATGCTTTTTAATGGCTGCCAATTTGCCATCCAGTAGACTGGGTCCCCAGTTTCATTAATTAACTGTATATTAATTAACTATTAGCCCACATCCTGCTGCACGGATGGGATGTGGGGAGATATGCAACATTTTTAATTGAAATATAATTTGGAAATTGATTATGACTACATTCCCAAGTAGTTTTTGAGATTGTAACCCCATTGAAGTCAATCAACACCAATTCAAGGCCAGATTAGACTAATTTGTAGAGAATTTCACTTTAGTGAATAACCCTGATTGTGAATTTGCTCTCAATGTGAAAGACATTTGATAATTTGCTAAGCAGGAGGTTTTGTAAAGGTGTCTCTGCTTAGAGGTATCAATGCATCTGTCTAACTATTGACCATGCTGAAGATAGCACAATTGACTTGTGTATTGTCACGAGTGAGGGTATCAAAGTTGTTAGACCTAGGGACCAAGTGATGCTTTTTAATATTAACACCAAGGGCTTGGAGAACCCTGGGTCTCCTTAAATAACCATTGATTTCCAATCCCTTGGTGTATTCTATATAAACTGTGTTGTTTTTCTTAATTTAACATGTTGATTGTCCTAATATGTCTTAAGTCCAATTTAAGAGCTGAGAAATTATTGCAAGGATTTAATACTATAGCATTTTATTCCAAGTGCTCATACCATTTAATGTTTTCAAATATGTGTTAGCTTATAGTGACAACTCTCCATTTGTGGTGAAGGTTCAAGCATTTGAGAAGTTTTTTAACAGGCAAATTGAATTATACAACAAAGTAAGTAATTATTCTGCATATTCTCCCCCTCACAACACTAGCTCAACAGGGCGACCCATTCATTCAGTATTTCTATCTAAACTTTTTATCATATTTAAATTTTTTACTATTTTGAAATAATGTATTTTGATACAATGTGTCTGAAATAAAATGTCTTTTTAAATGGAAATTTTGCTATTTATTCAAGAATATCTAAATCTTGTAACTTCCTGTGTCAATCTGCTTGCTAGTTACAGAAATAAACAGTGCATGTTGACTGTCTGCCAGTGAGCATGTATTTCACCAATAACAGTTTAACACAGTGATGGGCAACTTTGACCAAAGAAACTAGTTTTCAGTCCTACATTTTAGAATCCTACAGGATAATTTCTTCATGCCTAATTTGAGCAGATTTTATTTTAATTCCTCTAGTACTGTGTAGTTGTGTAAATCTCACAGAATGTTATAGTTTTTTTTTTAACCTAGGCAAACTTAATGGGGTTTTAGTTACAGTGTTTGATTATAGATTGCATAAGGCTGCCACAGTGCCAGTGTACCCCATTTTGGCAGGCTTATAAAATGTATGATCATATACTGTAACTGACCCATTATTATTGTTGCCTAGGTCAGGTGTCTTTAAAAAGACTTTTACATTATGTGAGCTTTAAAATTACCATTTAGTGAATGAGTGAGTCTGGATCTTGTATGTTGTCTGAATTGGCCCCAACAGCACCCTTATAATGTATGTATTTTCAGGGGAGTGCAGCATTCTTGATTTTATGTATGTATGTATGATTTTTAAATCTATTTATTGCTTGAGTTTTTGGAACACATCCAATTTGCCCACAGGTTTTTCTGTACAAGTGTTTACAGAAGCGTTTATAGGCAAACAGACCAACTCTGCACTTCTTGGTCAAAGAAAAATAATCTGAAGAACGCGTGAGTGAATGCAAATCCTAATCAGCTACCATTTAACTTGTACAAGTAATTGTAATTAAAATACCTATAACATCACTTGGCATTATTTAAAGTAGTTGTGGGAGTGGCTTATGAATGCAGTGATTTTGTTAAAATTGCTGCAGCTGTAAGACAAAACTCTCAACCAGTTAGTCGGATTCTGTCCTCCAGGGAACTCAACAAACTTGTTTTGTGTAGCACAACAGCTGATGTTTCTCTCCTCCTTGGAGAGAGACCTTGACTGTGCGCAGTTAGTCTATCTGCTGATCGATGCACGCAGATCAGTTTACAAAACTGTGAGCGAGTCTGTGCGTAAACTAACAGGAGCTGCTCTGTGACATCTGCCTTTTATATAGCAGCTCTGTCCGTAATTTGCAGAGTCTCAGGATCTTGGAAAGAATGTGTTTTTTATTTTTGTTTTTTTTTATTTTAAGATTTACAATTTTTATTCTTTATTTTAAGGTACAAAAAACGAAACTTAACAAACTTAATATAGCAATGTAGGATGTAAGAAGAATAGGATCTTAAGTTGCAACAATTGATACATTTGTACAGCATATAGAATATGCAAGAGTAGTTGGAGAGATGTAATTTCAAGAATTTTTAAACTATGAATGCATTATATATTAATTAATAGTGCTATTTCCTTAATGGATTTCAAAAGTATCTTCTTAAAGGAACAGTATAGGTTTAGGAACACAAACATGCATTCCTGACCCTAAAATGTTAAAAACACCATCTAGCCCCCCTATTCCCTCACCCCCCCTAAATACATTAAAATCTTCCCTTTATTCTAGTCTGCTTCTGCTGATTCTGCACTTGATCTGCCTGCTTGGCTGACATCATCAGAAATGATTCTGTCAGCCAATCACAATGCTTTCTTATAAGAAAGCATTGGGTGGGCTGAGACTGCCAAGGATGCAGTTTGTGGGCAGAGCCAGCACAAGCCAGACACAGTCCTGGCCAATTAGCATCTCCTCATAGATATGCATTAAATCAATGCAACTCTATGAGGAAAGTCTAGTTTCTTGATGCAGAGGGTGGATACACTGAATGTCAGTCACACTGTGCAGCACTGCCCCAGTAAGCACCTCTAGCAGCCATCTGAGGAGTGGCCAGTGGAGGCATGACTAGGCTGTAATGTAAACACTACATCCTCTCTGTAAAGACAGTGTTTACTGCAAAAAGGCAGAAGGGAATTATACTCACCAGAACAAATACAATATGCTGTAATTGTTCTGGTGTCCCTTTAAGAAATACAGATCTGCAAAACATGATTTTCTCTAATTCTTTCTTGGTATTTTTGTCAGCTACAGTACATCCAACACCTTTGTATTTGGCACAACATGCAGCAGATACATTCCTCCTCTAGTTTGGCTCGCTTATGTAAATTACATTTCAACACGTTCTCTGTGCTGGTCTGATTTCATCAGCGTGGGCTTGTGCATGTTATTTTAGCTGCAAACCGTCATTGTGACATTTGGAATCTATTTTATGAATATTTTTTTGATGGCAGTGAGCATAAAAAGCAATTTGTTTTGATATAATGGTTTGGGTAATATCTATGATTAAATAACAGATTTATACCAAACTCTTATGGTATGGTAGGTTTTATTTATATCTGTGCATTATATAATAAAATACTACCCCTGTTATGCAAGATGTGAACAGTCCTGTTTTAATGAGACACTTTAAGCACCATAACACCTTTGTAACATTGCAAAGGTTATGTTGCAGAGAATTTCCTGTACATTGTCTCCCTTTTCAAGGATGCTTATATCTGCAGTGATTTGCAAAAATATGTGCTGCTACAAGCCATCTTCCCCTGTAAGAGCTGTGACCAAAACTGTAAAGTAGACGAGTATGGCTGATATATGCTTATAAAACAATCCCATTCATCCTATGTGATGAGTAGAATTGCGGTGGGGGGGATGATGACTGCTTATCTCATATACCACTTTTGTGTTTTAAAGCATTATCTATATAAATTAATTGGGTCCTGTCTATTGCAATTCATTTAAAGGGAACCTCTAGTCCCGAAAGTTGCAATTGCTTTTTTCAAAGTTGTAGTTTCCCTTTTATTATACTGAAAACTGTCCACCTGCTTTACTGATTAAATAAAGATTACTCAATTAATTTCCAGCATCAAGACTCCTCCGCTGCAGCTGCCCGCTCGGCGTCCGAAGTCGCTAGCCTGCCTGCTGATGTCTTCCGTAAACTCCCCCAATCCAATGCTTCTCCATGCGGCCAGACACAACGCTCTTCCAATCAAATGCTGCTTTGAGTAGCATTTGATTGCAGGACTGAGTGTGACTTGGAGCTGGAGGAGGAAGTACAGGAAGTCATCCGCTAGAGATGTGTTTAACCCTGCAAAGTGAAAATTGCAGTCTCTATAAAACAGCAATGTTTTATATTGAAGGGCTAGAAATGTCAGGAACACTGCACCCAGACCACTTCATTGAGATTAAGTTGTGTTGGTGACTTTAGAAGTCCTTTAATATGTATGTTATAGTCCAAGATGGAGGAAACCATTTATCTAGTAAACCAAACTAGAGTTAAACTCTGCTTTTAATGTAATAATATTGAATGTACATTTAAAGCACCACTGGGACATGTAGGGAATCACTTATGCCATAGTTTTGCATTGTTTGAGAGTCTGTGTGTGTGTGTGTGTGTGTGTGTGTGTGTTTTATGTTTTTGTTTTTTTACATACAAAGTATTCTTTTGGTTATTGTATTTCCTGGTTTGAATTAGTGTTGTTTTTAAAGTAAGCCCATCATAAACTGTGTCTAACGATCCATTTTAATAAAGAGACAATCTGTAATAAATGCTGTTCCTCACAGGATGAAATTGAAAGAAAAGGAAGTATATTGGTGGATTACAAGGAACTTTTACTGGATAGCGACATCACTTCATGTATGTCATTGTCATCCGAGTTAAGGGAAATGCCTGAAAAAATTCTGGACTGTATGGGGCTGGCAATACACCAGGTAAGTACCTACCTATGCCAATAGGGGAGAGTTTGGGTGAAATGGAAAAACAATCCTTATATTAACAAATATGCTGTAACGAACTATAAAATACTAATCTGCGATCAATGTTACATTTTCATTTAGGCGTTTAGTATTTAGAAAGGGACAGGAGTCTCCAGGTTAATTCCAGTTCTGCCATTTATGGAAATTCTGTTAATTGATATGTGAATAAACATGGAAAAGAAGAGGGGAAAATTTTATTAACTTTATGTGTGCACTACCTGGCTTGTGTGTTGTTATGTTATTTTTATTGATATTAATATTTATATTTTATAGTAAATAGTATTTATATAGCACCAACATACTCATCAGCGCTGTACAAGTAAACAGTGTCAATATATAACAGCAAGTGACTGACAGACAAAATAATGTTCACAAATAGAATAGATTCCATCTTAAACATATTTATGTGTAGTATTTTGCAAGTTTAGGGAGAAACACGCTACTGTGTCTTTGCTGCACTTTATTATTTGATTTACCTTTTATTTAAGGTCCTATTTTTGTTACATGCTCTATTATCCATTAATCTTGCACTTTATACGAATTGAATTGTCTGTTTTCTGATCTTACACGCTCTTGGATGTACTTTTATTTTCCCAGGTCTTAACAAAAGATCTCGAAAGTCACGCAGTTGAATTACAGGAGCAAGAAGGTCTTCAGACACAGGAAGCACCCATTGTTAATGTGCCTTACATTCATGCTAGGTATTGGTATTTTTTCAATTTTCATAGCTGTGAAATAGTGATTATTTTTTCTTTTTGTTTATGTCTCACCTTCTTTGTACCATCTGTTCCCCAAGTCTGCAAGCCCTTCAACTGACTCATCATAACCTTCAAATTAATTAAATCCCTAATCTAAATCTACAGATTCCCTGCTAAAACTACACCTCCACATTTTTCTGTTCTTGTCTCTAAATATCTCTTTATGTAGTTCTGTTTATTCTACTTATGACCTGCACCTTAAATCTCCTATAGTTCACTACTTTAATTTCCTTCTTCTGAATCTTTGCTGTGCTACACCTTTTTCCCTAGAATTTCATTATTCACTGATGTATTTTACAATTTACACTACATTAACCACTCTTTGAATACCCACCTAATTAGAGAACCTTACTGGTTCTCCTCATTAATTATTTGGGGATTCAGATTGTGAAAGTATCTCAGCTCTCCAAATGGTCTTCATTTACAATCTTATTTTCCTCTTGCAAGTAGCTCCTTACTCCTCAGAATGGAGGCATCAGTCAGCACCTAACATTTATGAATTGATATGTAAAAATGCAACACTTGTCATATCTGTCCACATACTGGTTGCCCACTTCTGTTATAGAGCTGCTTTATAGAATTTACTGACATTTTGTTAAACAAAAATAATCTTTTCTTTCTTAGGGTATACAATTATGATCCATTAACCCCTCTGAAAAATCTTCGAGCCAATCTCTATGGTAAATATGTGGCACTGCGTGGTACAGTGGTACGAGTGAGTAATATTAAACCACTGTGCACCAAAATGGCCTTTTCATGCAACATGTGCGGTGATATGCAGAGTCTGCCTCTTCCGGATGGAAAGTTTACAGTTCCAACTAAGGTAACTACCAGTTTCAGAAATATTATATTTTTTCCTTTGTTCCTGTCTCTTCCTGCAGTGTTACTTTTAATTCAGTGTTTCACTGAAAGGGACAAAATAGTGATGAAGTGTCTGCAAGTTCTTAAAATGCATTATATTGATTACAAACAATGACAAAAGTAAATAAAACAAAAATGTATTGGGGGCGGGGCCTGACTGCTTAGATGGCCAGACGCATCTTCTGAGAACTCCAGCACTGCTGAGCTTAATTTGTGCTAAAATGGCTCAAAATCGTGATATTAGAAGTCTGGAACAACTGAGCATTGCAGCTGGGCCGAGTGGGAATCTGTGGATCCACGTTCTTTACAATTTATCTATGCTAACCCACGGTCCACTCACGAGGCCTAGCATGGTGGGCGACTTGGAGGCTGGGGGAAGCGACCAATCTCCCGCCACAGGGTCCCCTCCAAACGGCAAATATCTTGGTGCCCCACAACCCCCCCTTTGGACCGGAGGGAGATATCCCGGTCCCCACTGGGCAAAGAAGGATGTCAGAGCGGTTAACCAACCCTACTCTGGGTTTGCGCGCACACATCGCTGCCCAGCAGGGTGAAGAAAGGGAGTCGGAGGCCACGTCATCTACCACCCCGCAAACATCCTGCGCAGCAGCCGGATAGCAAGCTCCTGCTTGGCGCCCCAGGAGAGGCAATGACCGACTGGGTACCTCCGCCAGTCGCGCTTCCGAATAGTTGTCGAGTACCATAAGCACTGCACCGGACACCATAACCACTGTATCCCCGTTAGCCGCTGCAGCTTGGCTGGGGTCTCGCTGTCCCTTCCCACCCTGGACCAACACCTAGATTCAGCTACCTGTGCGAAGACCTCTTCTCCAAGAGAATATAGCAGGTATAGTAATCTAAAGAGCAGTATAGCAATCCCCACCACACATGAGACGAGGCTTAATGCTGCGAAGTAGTCTGGTTTATTGGAGGCCACACATGGCCATTTATGCAAAAGCCCCTGCAAGGGGTTTCCAATATAAGAATACAGGGAAATCCCTCTGATGATCCTTTGTACCTGAGACATAATTATCTGAGAAGCAAACATATAATTAAATTATCGCTCCGGTACAAAAAACATACAATTTATAAACATGCCAAAAGTACCCCCAAAATCCATAGAAACCCCACAAAGTTACATTCTCGGATAGCCCAGATCTGGGTGACCAACATATCCAAAAATTACCCAGATCGGTTCAGGGGTTCGGTTTTTCCATGGAAGTTAATTATTTAACCGACCGCACACATGATCCTATGCCCAAAACAGCTCCATGAAATCAGTGCTAACGGTCGGTCTCTTTTGGGAGTATAAAAGTGCATAAAATACCAAACGTAATCAATAGTTAACATGTGTAACTTCTTCACCTTGTTCATGGGAAAGATTCCACCGAACAGTGCCCTTCTAAGTTGTATAGAACCGAATGCAGGCGATTTATGGAAGTCCAGCGGTGTTCGGGAGTCTCAGTGTCCGATTTCAGTTCCATGAACTCAATGAAAAAACACCTCTGCCTGCGTTCATGCGAACAAGATGGCCGCCACCTCATGGTCATTCCTACGAATTGCAGCCACCCAGACGAACAATTAGAACACTGCGGTGGAACTCGTTACAAGGTGTCAATTGGGTTCCCAAACAATATAGGGAAATGGCACAAAGTTCTTTAACAGGGTTTCTATTAAGACTAGTACACAGGGCACTACAACTAAATTGTTTACTATGATCGTTCAGCATGTTTTAACTATTAGTTAGCCCATAGTATCAACTGTTTTATCTTGATTATTATTATAAAAAGCGCAATATTTTTCTTTGACATTTTCTACCAAATCTATATCCACTACTATTGTACATGCTTCTGTAAGAAATGTCTATACAAGCTATGTATGTATACTAATGCGCTACAAAAATAAAGAATTTAATTAAAAATAAAAAACTTTTCAAAATTCCTTAAGTTGCAATGCTTGTAGAGACTACACTAATCGGACCACTCATTCTGATGGTTTTTTTCTTTACCATAAACCAACGTGTGGCAAAGGTTTAAATGATGCAAAGTTTAGCTCCCAGACTCAGTTCCACTAATCGCATAGGATGCATATAACTGTAGAAATACTATTTGACTATTCACAGCCTGGATCACAGGTTTGAGAATGGGCTGTGTGCAGTGTTCTGCCAATTCACAAATTCCAGAGACACATTTTGGGCTCTCTTTTACCATCCAAGCAGTGCATGCAGTGTGAGCGTCTTGGAGAGCAAAGGAGGAAGTAAAATGTCCCTCAATGCATTTCATGATTCTTAAGACATTAAATCTTATGGGTGAATATATATGTAGCCCTCTATACATTACTAGACCTCCCATCTACTCCTATATATGCACCACTTCCGGCGGCGGGTGGGGGCCATAATGATAATGAGGGGGGGACCTACTGACCCCCGGCCCCCACTCCTGGGCAGCGGGTGGGGGCCATATTGATAATAAGGGGGGAGGGACCTACTGTCCTCCCCCCCCTCCCCGGCCTCCACCCCTGGGCGGCGGGTGGGGGCCACATTGATAATGAGGGGGGAGGGACCTACTGTCCTCCCCCGGCCCCCACCCCTGGGCGGCAGGTGGGGGCCACAATGATAAAGGGGGGGGACCTACTGCCCCCCCCCCCTCCGGCCCCCACCCCTGGGCGGCGGGTGGGGGCCATAAAGATAATGAGGGGGGGGACCTACTGTCCTCCCCCCCTGCTCCCACCCCTGGGTGGCAGGTGGGGGCCAAATGATAATGAGGGGGGGGACCTACTGTCCACCCCCCCTCTGGCCCCCACCTCGGGGTGGCGGGTGGGGGCCATAAAGATAATGAGGGGGGGACCTACTGTCCTCCCCCCCACCCCCGCAGCCCCCACTCCTGGGCGGCGGGTGGGGGCCCTAAGTCAATTCCCCCCCCCCCAAGGTGATTAGGGGTCCCCAAGCCCCTAGTCACCCACCCACCCACCCAAATAAAAAGTCCCTACCTACCCCCCTCACCCTAAGAAATAGTGAGGGGGGAATAAAATAACTAACCTGTAAACGTTAAATTAAACTTACCATTCGACGTCTTCTTTTTTCTCAAATCTTCATTTCAAGCCATCCAATCACAGTGCTCTGTGTCATTTTACACAGCGTGGGAAAGTTCTTTGGAATTTTCCCACACTGTGTAAAATGACAAAGAGCACTCTGATTGGCTTAAAACAACCAATCAGAGTGTTCTAAGCCTAATTGCAGGGCGGGGCAAGGCTCTATCTTTATTTAGGGCCCCCATCCACCGCTCAGGGGTGGGGGCCAGGGGGGGAGGACAGTAGGTCCCCCCCCTTATTGTTTTTTTAGGGCCCCCACCCACCGCTCAGGGGTGGGGGCCAGGGGGGGGAGGACAGTAGGTCGTCCCCCCATCTTTATTTAGGGCCCCCATCCGCCGCTCAGGGGTGGGGGCCAGGGGGGGAGGACAATAGGTCCCCCCCATCTTTATTTACGGCCCCCACCTGCTGCTCAGTGGTGGGGGCCGGGGGGGAGGACAGTAGGTCCCCCCCCTATCTTTATTTAGGGCCCCCACCCACCGCTTAAGGGTAGGGGCCAAGAGGAGAGGACAGTAGGTCCCCCCCCCCAATCTTTATTTAGGGCCCCCAGCCGCTATGGGGTGGGGGCCAGGGGGGGAGGACAGTAGCCCCCTATCTTTATTTAGGGCCCCCACCCACAGCTTAGGGGTGGGGGTCGGGGGGGGAGGACAGTAGCCCCCTATCTTTATTTAGGGCCCCCACCCACCGCTTAGGGGTGGGGGCTGGGGGGAGGACAGTAGCCCCCCCATCTTTATTTAGGGCCCCCACCAGCCGCGGGGGGGGGGCAGTTATTTGTTTTTTTTAGTTTTTTTTTTACAGTGAGCAGCCACAGGCTGCTCACTTCTTACTAGACATGCCCCTACTCGTGGTATAGCGAGTAGGGGCATATTATTTACTAATACTAAGTAATCTTTACTTAGTATTAGTAAATGTGGCTGAAAGACCAATTTAGGTCTTTCAGCCTTTTAGTAGATAACAACCTGATACCGTGGGAATTAGGGAGTTATCTACTAAGCGGCTGCAAGGTGCAGCCACAGCAAGAATAGGATTGGAGTTTCATTCATTCGAATGAAATTGTGATCCGAATAAAGTGCCGAATTGCGTTCTAAAAGAAACGAACATACTGTTCTCATTCAGTTAGAACGCAATTCGGCAGTTTTGTGTAAAATGACAGGAAGCATCGTGGGAACAGAGAGGAAAGCTAAGGATCATTGGAAAATTGCTCTGACCAGCAGAAATGAAGCACACTTTGCTCCTCCGCTGGTCAGAGCTGGTCAAGCGGAGGAATCCTCCATAAGGCAAAGAGTCCCTACTTTGTCTTATGATTTTAAAGAAAACTAAAGAAGACAGGAAGAAAAGAATAACAGATCCTGAGAGAGGGGGAGAAGAGGAAGAGATTGAGGAAAGGTAAGTTCGTCATGACAGTGCCGCTTTAATTTAGCACATATTGATTTGCTTTGTGAGTATATTCATTCAAGCATTAACACTTTATTTGTTTCGTTTTGACACTGTTTTTAATTGCTTTTTGTGACATACGCTCCTTACCCTGGACGTTTGAAATTTTTTCCGCACAAACCAGGCGAACAAACTCTACCTATGAGCCAGGGTAACCATTCGACAGTTTGTTCGTATGGAACTCCCGAAAGTGACCGACCGCTACCACTGAATCTCTGGAAATGATTTGGGCAGACGCCTCGGGTGTAGTCGGTCAAAACTTTACCCCAGTGGCGATTCGGCTGTATTCGTGGGATCTGAGCATTATTTGGACTACTTGGGCGCTCAGATCCAGGCTATCCTGGGATATAATATTTGTGGGGGTTCCTAAATGTCTTATATGTATTTTTTATATTTTATGTATGTTATGGTTTTATGCTTAGTCATGCTGACTCAAAAAATGTTGGGGAACTGTAAAGTAGTGGTGGGCTTAACACAATATGGCCATATGGTGGAACTGAATCCCCATATTTGTTTTCTAGGCAAATTACGTAGCCTGATAAGATTATTTAATTTGTATAATTTATCCAAATCAGGACTTTTTGCTAGCGTATATTCATATTTAAGTGTGGTTCATCATTTTCTTTTAATATCTTGTAATTTTCATTATTAAAGATCTTGGAAAATGTTATGTTGTGGTCCATCATTTTCTTTTAATAACTTGTAATTTTCATCCTTCAAGATCTTGGAAAATGTTATGTTGCCAAAAGAACAAACTGGCCTTCTAATTTGAAGCCATCAGACTTCTGTTGTCTCTGATATACATTAGTCTTTGAGTTTTAATGATGTCAGACATTTAAATTGGTCTGCTTCCCAAGTTTAGTTAACATTGTATATAGCAAAACACAGAAGAGAGCATAGTTCAGGCTATAAAGAAGAGAAAGAGACTGGGGTGTAAATTGGTTCCCCTCCACTGCAGGTTAAAAACCGAGTGGAGCTGTCACATCTGTCTATGTTTTTGTTCTTGACTTAATGATCTTGTCCTCCAGAACATGAATATAATAATAAGGTTGCCCCACTGTAGTGCTATTACAATTTGCAGTGTTCTGTAAATAGTTAGTCTCTTTTACACCCCACATCTGAATGGTGCGGTGAAGCAGCACTGGAGCAAACACAAACACTGGGTGGTCAGCCAAATGTTTGATCTCATTTTACAGTCCAGCAGGGTTCCAGTGTGATGTATTCTGATAAAGTAGAATGTCATTTGTAATATTTAGAAATGTGTGCAATGCTGTTGATGTTTTTCTTGATGCTTGATGCGATAATCAGTATTTTCTCTATACAGTGTCCTGTGCGAGAATGCCGTGGGAGGTCATTTACTGCAAAAAGAAGTTCCCCTTTAACCGTAACCGTGGACTGGCAGTCTATCAAGTGAGTGCATCATATTTATTTATATCATGCCTGTGTCACAGTAAGTTGCACAATTTGTATTACATAATAATAATGTGTGAAAAGTAAGTTCTCATTTTTTCCTGCTCAAATCTCACATTATTCCTTTTTCTTGTCCTGTTTGTAATGCGTCACACCTCAGAACATTGACCGTGAAAGCATTACACCAAAGAATCTTCCTATGCTTCAGCATCATGTAAAGCACGTTCACTTCTGTATTGCAACTTGTCAGATAAACTTGCATTTGCAGGAATCATCCTAAAAATGTGTAATCATTGAAATGAAATGTACGTCTTTTCCATACTAACCATGTTACAGCATGTACACTACTTAAACGGTGACCCCCCAAAAAATGTTTATAGTAATTTTATGAACTAAAAATGAGTATTTAACGTTGAGCTGATTTAGGTTTTACTTTGCCTAACATAACAAAGTACAATTCTTGATTCTCCATTTTTCACTTTTAGTATTATGAGGTGTGAATGACTGGTATATTTTAATACCACATGTTCTCCTTCTTATCTCCTATCACCATGTAATGTTTAAATTCCACTCTGTGGTGAACACTGTATACCCAATCCCAGCTCATTTCCTGAATAATTATAGAGCAATACAGCATACATGAACAAAATAAATTAAAACAAAAGTTATCCTGTGCAATGCAGATGATTGTGAACTACATGTTTCTAGCTGCTAGGCCATCCCCTAGGTTTTCTATGATGGTCAGCAAGTCGCTAGACTAGTTGAGCATCACAGGAAATGTGTTAAAGATATACGATAAAGAACATACGAGTATTGTTTTGTTTTTTAATTTTTCATATAAAGATTTTCTTTTTTGCTATGGCAGGGTGCAGGAACTGATGTCTGAGGATCAGCGAGAGGCTGGTAGAATTCCGCGAACGGTGGAGTGTGAATTAATTCAGGATCTAGTAGACAGCTGTGTTCCTGGTGACATGGTGACAGTAACAGGAATTGTTAAAGTGTCTAACACTAGAGATGGTACGTGCCACATGGTTATTTTAATTAATGCAACTAACACTATCTGCAAGCATATTCTTCCTTAAGAAAGAGATTTCCTATATTCTTTTCTAACAGTTTTTTTTTTATTTGTTCAGTATTTCATGGATGGGAAGATATTTAAGAAAATGATTTTCAAAGTAGTTGAAACCCTATGGCAATACCACCATACACTAAGTTGTCCAGAACACTCACTTAGTAAACACCAAGTTTAAAAAAAAACACTAAAAATAGTGAGGATTTGGTTACAGTATACACTGAATAATCGCAACTTTAAAACCCCTGACAGGTGCAGAGGATAACATTGATTAAATCGTTACAATGGCACTTGTTAAGGGGTGGGATATATAGGCAGCAAATTAAGAGACAGTTCTTGAATTTCATGTTTTGGAAGCAGGAAAAATGGACAAGCAAAAAAAATCCGAGTGACTTTGACAAGGTCCAAATAGTGATGGTTAGACGACTCAAGGGCGCCCAAGGCTCATTGGTGCACTTGCGTTGCGGAGACTAGCCAGTTTGTTTCAATCACACAGAAGAGCTACTGTAGCTCAAATTGCTGAAAAACATAAATGTCGCCATGATAGAAAGATATCAGAATACACAGTTCATTTGCAGTTTGCTGCGTAGCCACAGATTGTCCAGAGTGCCCATTATAACCCATGTCCACTGCCAAAAGCACCTTCAATGGGGATGTGTGCTTCAGAAATGGATCATTGAGCAATGGAAGAAGGTTGTCTGGCCTGATGAATCAAGTTTTCTTTTAGAACAGTTGGATGGCTGGGTGCATGCGTGTCCTTTACCTGAGAACGAGATCGCTGCAGGATTCACTATAGGAAGAAAGCTAGACGATGGAGAGTTATGCTCTGGATAATGTGGGAAATCTTGGGTCATGGCATTCATGTGGATGTTACTTTGGCACGTAGATTGTTGCAGACCACATACACCCAGTCATAGCAATGAGGTTCCTTGATGGCAATGGATTCTTTCAGCAGAATAATGTACCCTGCCACACTGCAAAAATTGTTCAGGAATGGTTTGATGAACATGACAAAGCATTCAAGGTGCTTCCTTGGCCTCCAAATTCCCCAGCTTTCAGTTCCGATTGAGTATCTATGGGATGTGCTGGAACAACAAATCTGATCCATGGAGGCCCCACCTCGCAACTTGCAGGAGTTAAAGGATCTACTGCTAATATCTTCATGCCAGATACCACAGGACACATTCAGGGGTCCTGTGCAATCCATGCCTCGACACATTAGAGATGTTTTGGCCTGGGGACCTACATGAGATTAGGCACATTATTACATATAAATATATATATTTAGTAGCATTCAAGACTGCCACAGTGCCAGTGTATTCCATTTTTGGCAGCTCTTATGAGATTAACCCACTTACTTGGGAAATCCGTCATCCTGGAGCTCTCTACATAAGGCCCTGGAGTGAGGCACCTGTAACAGAGAGGGATCCAAAGCAGGAGTAAAGCTGGAATCCCAAATATTTCTAAATATAAAATTCAGTGGACATCACTCACCTGAACATATATTTATGGATGCTGCTACACCAATTTTTGCAACAAAAAATCCAGCACACTTAGTCACCAAACACTAACTTCAAAACTGAAATGTGTACTCTGTTATGCATGTATTTTCTATGCATGTGTAAGTGAGTGCAGCTCTTGTGGGTGTCTTTTGAAGATTTTTCCTAGACATACACCATAGGTTCTACATGTCGGCTTTATATATGTCAAATTATTACTCCACATACTCCTTCTACTTTCCTTCCTTCTTCTGTCCAGTCTTTTCTCCACATATTCTTTCTTCTACTTTCTTTCCTTCTTCTCTCAATTATCTTTTTCCTGTCTTTTTCCTATTCTTGCTAACCCTTTATTTTTGCTCTTGGTATAGCGTTCGAGGAGATGACAGGTATTTTTTATTTCCAAAGTTGCCATAGTGTTTATGTGACTTACCCGGCCTAGTTGTCTTTATTGGGATTACTATAAACTTACTGTGACACATGGCTACATTTTGCTGCGTAGCCAGAGATACGTTCCTTAGTCTTCTGGGGCTTTCAATGACAGCCTTCTATTGTAGAGAATTTGTCTTACAGTTTGTTTAAAATGAGCTTTTATAGTCTACTTAATATTTGCAACCTCTTATACTATTCCTAAAGTTGCCATAGTGTTTATGTGACTTCAGCCTAGCTGGGCTATTACATTCCATTTATTTAATGTCCTAATTTGCTTTATTGGGATTTACTATGACAAATGCCAAGATTGGCTATATTCTATTGTGTTCCCTCGTATTCTGGGTCTGTTATTGACAAACAAGTTCTTTGTAGCAGACGTGTTCCAGTTAGCGAATAAGCCATTAACATTAACTATTTAATATCATCCACAAAGAACTACATTTAACAGCATTCCTATATGTTCATATATGTAACATTGGAGACAGTTTTGTTTCTTTGGGTTGAAAAAGACCCTTGTCGAGTTGATATGTATGTTTGTTAAAGCAAAAGTAATATGGTCTATTTAACATAACATCTTCTTTACCAGGGGGGTATAAAAATAAAAACAATAAATGCATGTTCTTGTTGTACATCGAGGCAAATTCCGTCAGTAACAGCAAAGGTCAGAAAAGCAAGGATACAGAAGACGGCGTGAGTCACAGGGCATCTATGGATTTCTCATTGAAAGATCTCTATGCAATCCAAGAAATACAAGCTCAAGAAAATCTCCTAAAGTTAATAGTCAAGTGAGTAGAGATCTACTGTCACTGCCTCAATGACATAACTGTGAACTAGCACATTAATATTTCATGTTCTATCAATAGAATCAATGCTCCCTGCCAATAGCAAGCTGTATTTTAGGGTATCATTACTCAGAGCTGTTGTAATGGCATACATTTGTCTCCTGCAGTTAAATGTGTTTTGTTATATGAATACTAAAAAGACAGTTTGTTACTTGGAATGTCAGGTGAAAGGGTTTGTGAATGTGTTTAGTTTTGAGGAATATCTCACCTTGGACCTGCAGGTTTTGTTTTTACTACAATTCCCATGACATAATTCTGACTGACTAACTGAGAATTCTGGGAAATATAGTCCGAGAATTGCTACAGGTCAAAGTAAGACATTCTGGGTTTAGAATGACTTTTTCTTTTTAACAGGGTTATTCACTAAAGTGAAATTTCAAATTTTAGTCCAAAGGAGCCAATCTGGAAGCATGGCTGAAGTACAAAATGTTTCCATTTAGTCTTTTCTGGCCTTAAATTTAAAATTCACTTTGAAATCTCTCTGTTGTGTATAACCGTGTAAGTCTTGAGAAGTTTTTTCACAGATCATTAACGCATTTTTTAATGTTGTTTTTACATTTTTCAGCTCCCTGTGCCCTACGATATATGGACATGAGGTGAGTTACGTTATTTGTCAGTCTAAAGTATTGCATGCCAGTTGTTTGGGTTTTTGTGGTCATTTTTTTTGTGTAGACGTGTAATGTGTGTTTTAATTAAACAAAAACTCTGTACAGGAGATGGTTATGCTTTTACGAGGACTACTTGTGCTGATGTGATCGAAGAATAATGGTATAATTTCTTTGCTGATCTCATAGGAAGTTTACATTATTCCTGTTTGGAGACTGGACATCACCAGTCCTCCAATTTACCATTATAAAAAAAATACATGAAATAACATAGTGCTAACCACCATTTTCCGGTTTTCTTTTTTTGGGGGGAGGGGCGAGGGGTTATTTTATCAATAAATAATACACCAATTAAATAGTTTCATGCTAAAATCATATCCTGTTAATAAATTAATGTTTCACAGATATATTCAAACTGGATAGGAACGTTTGGATTTCTATTTTTCGTGCAGTTCCATGTGGGGAGTCACAGATGTATGCAAATCAGAATGCTTCGTGCTGGACAGGTTTCCTGTTATTCAAACTAGTTATTTTCATTTACAGATTGTGAAAGCAGGGCTGTCACTGGCGCTGTTTGGAGGCTGCCAAAAATACGTGGATGACAAAAACAGGATTCCTGTTAGAGGAGATCCCCATATTCTTGTGGTTGGAGATCCTGGTTTGGGAAAAAGCCAAATGTTGCAAGTATGAATTCCCTTCTTGCTACTGTAATCTGATATTTGTTTATGTTTATTTGTCTGTAATGGTAAAACTAGATTAAAGGAAGATCAGAATGTATGCGATGACAGCATATTCGGGCCCACAAAACCTTTTCACACAATAGTTATCTCTAGGATAACATTTTACTTCCTAAACGTTCTTCTGTGTAACAGTAGAACATGGCATCACACATTTTTAAATTCCTAGGGGAATTCTTTTCTTAATTTCTTAAACAGACATGACATTTAAAGCAAAACAGTCGTAATTTTTATGAGATTACATATATAAAGAGTGTATTATTTTGCAATTCATACATATCAATAAATACCACTTTCCAGTCCTGATTTTAAATCTCTAAACATGGAAGGTACTAGATTGTCTCGTCTGCTACTAGTCTAAAGATCTGTAATTATGTAAATGATGTGTTAAAATATTCTCTACACAATTTACTTTTTGTGAGTCAATAAACTAGCTGCAAGGATGAGAATCTTCTCTTTTAATTGAACAAGAGAATTATACGCCCTATTCCACAAGGGAGAGGATCCTTGTCATACTTTACAAGGCACATCTCTGCTCCACATACAATGATCTGTGATACTGGGCCATTTTCATTATGAGCTGCACCTTTAAAGGAACACTATAGTCACCTAAATTACTTTAGCTAAATAAAGCAGTTTTAGTGTATAGATCATTCCCCTGCAATTTCACTGCTCAATCCACTGTCATTTAGGAGTTAAATCACTTTGTTTCTGTTTATGCAGCCCTAGCCACACCTTCCCTGGCTATGATTGACAGAGCCTGCATGAAAAAAAAACTGGTTTCACTTTCAAACAGATTTAATTTACCTTAAATAATTATATCTCAATCTCTAAATTGAACTTTAATCACACACAGGAGGCTCTTGCAGGGTCTAGCAAGCTATTAACATAGCAGGGGATAAGAAAATCTTAATTAAACAGAAATTGCAATAAAGAAAGCCTAAATAAGGCTCTCTTTACAGGAAGTGTTTATGGAAGGCTGTGCAAGTCACATGCAGGGAGGTGTGACTAGGGTTCATAAACAAAGGGATTTAACTCCTAAATGGCAGAGGATTGAGCAGTGAGGCTGCAGGGGCATGTTCTATACACCAAAACTGCTTCATTAAGCTAAAGTTGTTCAGGTGACTACAGTGTCCCTTTAAATGTATTTTATGATTTTGACTCTGAGTTTTGTCTGGCCATTATTCGTTCTTTCATACTATCTTTTTCATTAAATGCATTTAGAGTTTGTGCATTGTTTACAGACTAAAGAAATAACACAACACTATCTCCAGAGGGTTGCTAGACGAAATAAAAGCATCAGGGACATGTCAATACATCAGCCATGAACAAATAATTCTCCAGACGAAGGATATCATTTGCCAAAATGTTTACATCTCACCCATGTACAGTTGCTAAAAAAGATGCTTAGAACAAAAAGGAGGTTGCCGGGTAAACTCCATAACCCAGCCAGACAGGGCTGTTGGTTTTTAATCGATGTGTTTCCTTTCACACATTGGATGTTTGAAGCACAGATAAAGTGTTCCAATGTATGTGATACAAACGTTTAAAAAGTAGAAGCACTTTCATTTCACAAAGTGTTCAATATGTAAAAATGAAAATTTTTGTGTTAATTCCCCTTTTACTTGCTTACAGGCCGTGTGTAATGTTGCTCCTCGTGGTGTCTATGTTTGCGGAAATACCACCACATCCTCTGGCTTGACTGTGACATTATCCAGAGATAGCGCAACTGGAGATTTTGGTTTAGAAGCAGGAGCACTCGTTCTTGGAGATCAAGGTTGGGGAAATCTGTTTTGCAAAACATTTAAATCGCTACCAGTATTAAACGTCGTCATGAATTCACTGTCCTGTGCTCACTGTTTTATCCTGTACTCAATATTTTATCTGAACACTGCATCTATTCTGTATAGTTTAAATAGGGTTAGGTAAATACTGATTGGTCCATGTCACTCCTGCGACCCCAAAACACGCGGGAATGAGATTGCCAGAGTGACACGGATAATGGGGGACTGGAAGGGACGCAGCACCTTTGATATATTTATGGACACGCTCCATGAGCGAGCAGCGTCCACAACAGCCTCGCTACAAATGGAAACTGTGCCATTTCTAAGAAACCCTCTTTGTGGGACAATTAGATGGATGATTCCATTGGTTTCTATGGTGATTGCTCCACATTCAGCACTTCTAGATTGTATCTGTCATATCTCTTTATACTTCTTAATGCTTTATGTCTGGTTTTATTCTTACAGGGATATGTGGAATAGATGAGTTTGATAAGATGGGTAATCAGCACCAGGCTCTACTGGAAGCCATGGAACAACAAAGCATTAGTCTTGCCAAGGCAGGTATTGTGTGCAGTTTGCCAGCCAGGACGTCCATCATAGCAGCCGCAAATCCTGTGGGAGGACACTATAATAAAGGCAAGACTGTGTCGGAGAATTTAAAGTGAGTTTTTACTGAATCCACTGCCAATTAAAAATGAGAGGGGGCGGATTATTAATTTACTTAGCTCATTTCAATTTACTGCATGCTGAAACAGACTCAAGAGTTGTCTAATATTCTTTTTTTGATCCACACAACACAGAATGTAAGAAATAGAGCTGTTACATGTTATAAACACATAATAAGAGAATCCCCTCAAAGCTAAACAAGAAAACTACCTGGTCACCTAAGTATCATGGGAAATGAAGTCAGATGAAGTGTCAAAAACTACTAACATTGTTTTGAACTGCATCTCGTTTTAAAGGGACACTCAAAGCGCACATTAAACTGCACCTGTCCATTAATCTATTATGAAAAGAAAAAACACACCACTTTGCATGTCCATTGCTTGCTACATATATCCATGCTGTATAGATCTTTTAGCCAGTTGCGATCCTGTCATTATTTTAGCAATAACGTTTTTTTTTTACTGACCACACGGAAGCTGATCTTTGTCAGTCAGACTGATCCTGTCACTACCATGCAGGGAGTAAAGCAGGGAAGCCTAAATAGACTGTCGGTTTTCTGTGTGAGCCAAGGTGCATGTACATGGCTGAAGGATCCTTGCGTCAGGGCCTACAATTTATAGTCCTATGCTACTAGCCAAGTCTCAAAAGTTACTCACCACTACAAGCCATATCATACCCACCAGGGAAAATTTGTACTTGCCAGGGCTAAGTTTTCTGTTGCCAATGGCTAGGGGAAATTTTTAGCCCTGCTGTCCTATACTAAAGGTTGTCTTTTAACATGCTTAAGTACAGGAATACTCCAGCAATGGATTATAAAGTAAAAGAGCAGGCTTATCATCATGTCTTATTTTACCGTTACTGTGTGAATTTAGAGTGGATTGGAAGATGTTATTCATATTGTCTCATATTTCCTTTTTTTGGTCCATGCTTAATAATTGCATTCTAAGTGTATTTAGATTGTATAAAAGGACACGGCTTTGAATTGGAATCAGTATATATATCTTCTCATTGGGATGTGAAACGTATCCCTTTCTTCATTTACAGAACCCATTGTGAGTGCATAAACCAGAATAAACATGCTGTTAGTGACACCTAGTGGTTAATATAATACTAGCATTCAACATGTGAAACAAGAATCTATGTTTAGCGTAATAGATACAGGTGTTGAAATTATTTTACAGTGCTTTCAAGTCTGCTTCACCCCACGTGTTTTCCTGATGTGGATTAACATATTCAATCAGATTTTGATGCATATTATATATACTGTTTAATCAGATTTTGATGTATATTATATATACTGTGTGTGTGCACACAGTATTTTGTCTCATTTTGTGAGGACATATCCTTTTTAAAATTTTCGTATTGTTTCATTTGTGCAATTAAAGAGATCGCAGTGCTTCACACTGAGCTCTGTCGATCACTTTTAAAACATATACATAAAGTTGTGGGCCATGTCTTATTTTACCGTTACTGTGTGAATTTAGAGTGGATTGGAAGATGTTATTCATATTGTCTCATATTTCCTTTTTTTGGTCCATGCTTAATAATTGCATTCTAAGTGTATTTAGATTGTATAAAAGGACACGGCTTTGAATTGGAATCAGTATATATATCTTCTCATTTTATTTTTTTCTTTATTAATCTCTCTTTGCATTTAGCCTGTATACGTAGATTTGTTGATATACCTTCGTTTTCTATGAAATTTAAGTCTTGCTTTTTATAAAGGAAAATTGTAATGATTTCTCTTTAAAATAAGAACAGGCATAAGACAGGATGTGCACTAAAAAGAGGTATTCACTTACATGTGTTCTTAAAAAAAAAAAAAAAATTATACACATTTTTTATTAATAATAAAACATTAAAACCGTTTACCATTTCCAGTAATATTCTTTGTGCTGTCACTGTCACACATGTTAATATGAAATGATTGCTTGTTATCAAAAAACTGTGAGAAAACCTGTAACATTGCTGTCATTACAGAATGGGGAGTGCTTTACTGTCACGGTTTGATTTGGTGTTTATCCTTCTTGATACTCCAAATGAAGACCATGATCAATTGCTTTCGGAGCACGTAATGGCCATGAGGGCCGGATCTAAAGAAGTCTTACGCAGTGCAACTGTTACACGTGAAGAAACCCAAGAATCCAATACTTCTATCTTAGAAATGCCCTCGGAGAGACCTTTAAGGGAGAGATTAAAGGTATGTATTTCCCCCCCTTATTTTAGCCGAACATATCCTGTTGCTGTCATTGATTCTTTATTTCCTTTAAATATTACAAATAATGCTTTGTGTGTAGGATTTTTAAAAAAAATTTTTAATTCTTTATTTTTGTAGTGCGTAAATTTGTAACAGTCGCTTGTGAGGTACCCCAAAGGCAATCCTCTAGCACATTTCAAACAGTAGGGCATAGAGGTACTTGTTAAATCTAGCACATATTTTATACATATATATGATTAAGTCGAGTGATAAACATTATATATTATCCTTGCTTAATCTCTTCTATAGCATACAATAACTTAACGATCAGGCTAGGACGAGGCAGTATGGAAGTGGGATAAACAGGGCTAAACACTCTCTTCCTAGTGTCTGGCTACACATGGTGATGCAGTTAATGTAGTTTTAAGCGTGCTATGCTAAATTAAAGTTGAATAAAATCATATTAAATCACAAGTAGAGACAGGCTAGTTCCACATGTCCAGGCTGAAAACATTTGTAAGTTAACTCAAAAAGGTTAGCTGGGCATGGTGGTTAAAGTACAGTTAAGTGTCGCTATCAGCATTACAGGAGTAAGGAGCCACTAGGGTCAGGGTCACTGTCACAATTCTGCAGTACAAAGAAACTTAACTGAATGTAGAAAACAGAAATGTAAGCTAAATAAGACCATCGCTCATGTTGGGGAGAAGATTCTTAGAGGTGCTGTCTGGTGGCCACCAGGGTTAGGGAGGCTCCTTTTGTATAAGGGTACCTACTGCGAGGTGTGTAATCTGAGCTATAGGTCGTTACTAACTGTGACATTGTCCCTTGGGGTGCATATTGTAGAGGCTAGAGTCCAGCACCACTCGCTTTTTAGGACGTCCCCTTCAGCCTATGCCCACCGGGTGTATAGAATTGTCCAGCTTGGGGGAGTCCTGCCAGGTGGCGGCACGCTTGCTCGGTGAGGTAATGGTGGCTTTGCTATTGCGGCAGGGCAGTCGCCCCCTCCGTGCTTTCCCTCCGGTTGACAGTAGGCAGGCTTTCCGCCGGTTTCATCCGTCGATCCCCGACCCGCCTGCAGTGTGATTAATGTCGCTGTGGGCCCTGCCAGTACCTCCGTGTTGGGAAGCGCTTTGCAGGTCGACTGATGCTGGGAGCGCTGGACGGTGGGCAGGTCAGATACTCCGGTGGGTCCTGCTCTGGAGCGTGTGGGCGTGTGTACCGTCGTCCGAGGGACTTTACGACGTCTCCCGCCATTCTGCTCCCAGGCTTCGATGCTGTCGGGAGGCTGTTCTGGGGCCACATGGGGGATTTCCCCGCAGGCAGCGCCAGACTGCCGGGTGGATCCACGCCCCAACCGCTTTCACCACCAGTTTGAAGGGCTGTCTCTTGGCCTTACACTTCATCCAAAGGTAAGCGCAGAGCTGGTCGAAGAACACCAGTGTGTGTTTGGGTGGTTTGGAAATCGTGTGCCTTGTTCTGTGCTGCGTCTGGGCCGCCATCTTAGCTGGGCCCTCGTGGTCCCATTTGGACAGGGATTGTGTCGCCTGGGCAGTTTGATTTACGGGGCTATTCGTCCCTGTGAGGACCGGGATATCCCCGGCCAGTCCGGGGGGGGGGGGGTAGCAGGGCTGTGGTGTGCTCTCGCTTGGGAGCTCGTCCCGTGCCGGGAGATCGTCCGCTTCCCCCGGGCCCCACATTTGCAAAGTGAGGATCCGTATAACCTTCGAAGGCATTGATAGACAGTGAGAGGTGGGGGTAAATTATTATGTTCCTTTTGTAAGTTTGAATAAATATTTTTATTTTAATTTAAAGGAATGAATGCACAGCAAACACACATGTTAAACATCCACTTTAATTTATAATAATTCCTATGGCCACCTTTACATATTGCTGGGGTTATATAAACTAGTTAAGGTATATTGGCATTTGCTGCTCTTCCCCAGTTATATTCAAATTATTTACCTTCAGCTTAGTCAAGTTTTGAAAGGATGTACTATGTTCTTTTCTTTCATGATCACTTGCCAAGAGAGCAAACTAGATGTCACTAGATGCCCTTACATTATTTTCTGTTGGACTCTAATATAAGTCCAGAACTTCACAGCTATTTTATTTCTACATTATGTACTCCTTTTATTGGCAAGATTTTCTTATTGCTATCCTCTTAATCCATTATTTACCAATCTACAAAGTAGAGGTCACTCCTTCTGCCCCAATGCTGTACATACACATGGCTGCCTTTCCAGGGCATCTGAGCATTTTTATAGATTCTGTGATCTCTTACACACTGTATTTACTTTTTGTGAGTTATTCTGCCTTTTATTAATGATTGTGAGACAAACGAGGTCATGCAATTATTAATTTTTTTATATCACCATAAATATTTCTGCAAGTAAGATATAACTATGTAAAATTACAAATTACAACAATATATTTGTATATACATTACTTTATTTTTTTCTATTTTTCCTGGATTCTATAAATAAAATTACTGCTTAATCCTTGCTATCGGCTACCTAGACATTCCAGATTAAAATTTTTAGTTGGGGAAGGTTGCTTTGCAGTTAAAAGGCTAAAGTGAGCCATTAAAAGTGTAAGAAAAAAAAATGTACAATATTTCCTCAGTTTATTTCTTTACTGTATTCAGGTGATCAGTGTTTCCACAATAGTTGGATTGCCGCTATGGAATCAGTCTAAGGCCTTAAGTCACGTAAATACCAAATGCTGTTATCTACATTTGCTATTTGGATTTCAATTCACTGAAGTTCTATGTTTAGTAAATAAACCCAAAAGTTTAGTCCCTTTGTCCTTGTTTTGGCCATGATATATTTAGGCAAACCAGTAATTACAGAACAGACAGTAAAAAGGATTATTTACTGTCAAAAGAAATTCCCTTGTTAAACTTACCAGACCCATGACAGCTGAAATATTATTTGCCAGCACAATAAATACAGATCTTGAGCCAGTTAAGGCATCACAATGAAAAATTAAGAATAGCATGTTGATGCATTTTCCAAACCGCCCAGTAAAGCATTTCTTGGAAAGTTTTGAAATTGGCTTTATCCCTTTTATGACTGAGACAATAAAGTCTGTTTAACAGGTTAACTTGGCATTGAACTTGACATGAGTTTAAGCCAAAGTACTATAACTGCATTTAACCTCATTGATCACTATAATCCCAAAGAGAAAATTCCAATAGAAAATAGTTCATGATTCCTGAAATAACTTCTAGGTTTAGTCCATGTATCTAATACTTAATTTTTGTTAAGTGTCTTTCTTTTATTTACTGAGTAACCATTTTTTTATTTTTTTTTAGCTCCGTCCTGGTGAGCATTTCGATGCCCTTCCACACCAGCTACTAAGGAAATATGTAGGATATGCTCGCCAATATGTTCATCCGCAATTGTCACCTGATGCAGCTCAGATACTCCAGAACTTTTACCTTGAACTGAGAAAACAGAATCAAGGCATAGATGGCACTCCCATTACTACAAGACAATTAGAGTCTTTAATCAGACTGACAGAGGTACGGGCTAAAAAACTGTTGTTGTTTTTTCTTTAATAATGCCCACTGTGGTGGTTATGATGCCAGATCTACCCTGGTGCCCTTTCCCAGTAATGGTGGCAAACTGTTGCCAAGATTTTCTGTCTTACCTGTGTCTCGCTGGGCGCCAGGTCTCCTTAAAGCAGGATTAACGACATCAGGTTGTGCAGCTCTGCCGATATTGCCGCTTATTCATTGACTGACTATAGACGCTGGCTTTTGACCCTACAGGAGGTGGGAATCTCTCTTTAAAGGGAGCTAACATTTCTCCCAGTGAGTGAAAGAGGGCTACAGGGACGGTGTGGGAACAGGGAGTGAATTGCATGGAGGAGTAGACATGCTTATCTCTGATATAAAATAGTAGTAATAAGGTTATTAAAAACGGTTTTATTTGCATTTAACTACTACTCTGTTCATGCGCTAGTTTTACCTTTGAACAGTGGCACTTTTTTATTTATTAAATATTGATTCAAAAACTGCATATTATGTGGGGTGAGGTGTTTCTCCCCCTCACCTCTCCAATTATGTAGTTGTTATAGAGATTAGTTATTGATTAGTGACTATAATAGTGGCACATATTTACCTTGTTCCTTCCTGCATGTTTTTAACTCTCCTTAAATGCTCACACGCCCTGATCTCACCTGTCCTATACCAGCATCACCATAGAAAATCATTTCATCGGAAGAGGTAGCTATGTTAGTTAGGTCAAGGTAGAAGATTTCCACAAGACAGGCATCTAGCGAAGTTACCAGGTCAATTTACTAAAGTTTAAAAGTTAAATTTCACCATATTGCTTTTCAAAGTGTTTGTTTATACATGCGTACATGTGTATATAATGTTTATATTGTATAATTGGTAATCCACTTGTTACTTTTGTTAAAAGGCACGTGCAAGATTAGAATTAAAAGAAGAGGCTACTAAAGAGTTTGCAGAAGATGTTGTTCAAATAATGAAACACAGGTGATTTATGATGTTTAAACAAATACAGCAAAATTGGATATAATATGAATTTACCTGCGCTGTTCTTTATAATTTATATTATATGTCATGGTTAGAGTTTGATATTTAAGTGCAAACAAAGCTTTGATGCACATATTTTGTGTATTCTGCAGTTTTGTGGTTTTTGTTTTTTTTGTGAGTTTGTTTATTTATAACCGTTTAATATGTAAAGGGATTTGTTCAAGTCGGCGTGTGCCCATGTAAGAATTTATTATTTCTGTGTCTGTGAATAAATGTAGCATATGAATATTAGTTATGCTATATGTATATTGTACTTTATTTCATAAACATTTATGTTTTTTAACCCCTTAAGGACACATGACATGTGTGACATGTCATGATTCCATTTTATTCCAGAAGTTTGGTCCTTAAGGGGTTAAAGAGGAAATATAATAAATAAAGAAATATGTTCCAATTCATTCAAATGTTGTAAGAAACAACCACAAATAATATGACAGAAAGAGCAATAACTTCTAAATAGAGAGTGTACCACCTGAAGTGATGCATTTATCTGCCTATAAAAAAAACCAAATGACTCATTACATTTGCATATTTTATCTCAATTATTCAAAATATCTTCATTGTTAAAAATGTTAGTTCTTAAATTCTGCACAGCCACTGATTTAACAATAAAGTGGCTGAACTTCACTTTAATGGAGTATTTACTGACTCTTTACAGCCACACATATTCAGTAAATCCACATTTAGGTGAACTGGCGCCAGCTGTGGCATGCACAATTTACAAGATTTTGTTCACTTGATAAAAATGCGTTGGATACAATTATTGAGATATCCAAGTTTGCTCATACACTTAGAATGGAAAGTAGAAAATGTTACACATTTGTTTAAAGGGAACCTATAGTCCCAAAAATAACAATTGTTATTTTGGGACTATAGGGTCCCTTATAGCTTTGTGAGCATCCTTCACCCCCTTATACTCTGTAAAATGTAAGTTCAATAAAGATTACTCACTTCCTTTCCAATACCGGGACTCCTCCGCTGAAGCCTAGAGCTCCTCTTTCTGTGATGTTTACATCCAATGTGACATCACCCTCAATATCCCCCAATCCATTGTTTTAACATAGAGAAGAAATTAATTGGAACAAGGCATGCACCGTGCTCCTCCAATCAAATGCTACTATCTGCAACATTTGATTCCAGGACGAGTTTCACTGGGTTCTGGAGGAGGAAGCACCTGGAATGTAACCCTGGAATGTAAACCTTGCAATTTCTAGAAATGGGATTGATTTTAGTGATAGATTGTGGGTAAATGTGATTGACAACTGAAGTCCCTATTTTTCCTTATATATGTGAAATCTTCAGCACTCAGGGAAAAGGGGAGACAAAACAGATGCTGACACAGGGTAGTATGTAGAAGCAGTCTTTATACAGTTTATTTTTACAGAACCACAAGATACCATAACAGAAACTTTTCCTTTTGAAAGTGAGGGAAGAGTGTGTTAGTTTTTGCAGTTTACTTTAGCTGTTTAAAGTATTCAGTTAATAATGCTTTCTGTATGGTAGCAATCTGAAAACAATGCAAAATATAAACTCAAAAAAGGACTATTCACTGTGTTTGTCTCTCCTCCATATTTTAATTGCAATACAAATTTATATATTTAATCAAATATAAAAGATATTGCGTGGTAAAATGAGAGAAGTATTCTTTTGGAGATGATACAGATAAAAAGTGTATTTAGTTTTATTCAATTCTTAGACTGCTAAATACATTGATGGGATATGACCCATTTTATATCAATACTTTATTTGGGGTTTCTAATTAGATGCTATGTTATGTTTTAAGGCTGAGAAATACTATTAATTGTTTTATTTCTATTACTTTTTTTAGCCTTTTGGGAACATACTCTGATGAGTTTGGAAACTTAGACTTCAATCGATCTCAGCATGGCTCAGGAATGAGTAATCGATCGCAGGCGAAGAAATTTGTTTCTGCTCTTAATCGGATTGCAGAAAGAACCTATAACAATCTGTTTGAGTTTCAGCAGCTTCGACAAATTGCAAAGGATTTACAAATACAAGTATGATTCATGTTTTTGGACAGTAATGGTTTTGCATCAGTGAAAGCTGTTCTCACTTTATCCCACTTTCTTTTCATGGACAACTGTGTGAACATATGGTCTGTTGTTACTGAAAAAAAATAAGACAGCAGTCACTAGAAATGTATAATCACAAAAGATCCAAGATTAGTCTCTAGACTAGAGCGTGGTTTTTAACCTGATGTGAAAGGCATAGCGGTATGCCTAAAGCCACCTCAAAGGGTGCCACGAACACATAGGAAGAGATTTATTGCAGACAGTTTTGAGACTTTTTTTGGTGCAATATTCACAGGAAAACTACACATGGTGGAATAATGATGCAAAACAAAGGCTGAATTTAAGAAAACTTGTAACTTTTAGACCATTTTATCACTCTTCAATAAATACAAACAGATTGCAGACCAAATGTATACAGCCTTTTTAGTTGATTTTGCTAAATCCGGCGTGATGGAAGTGAAGAAGAAACTATGGCTTCAATTTAATAAGCGTTCCAAGTGATTCAATACTGTTAGAAAAATGTAAGTTACCATTAAAAGGACACTCCAGGCACCCAGACCACTTCTGCCCATTGGAGTGGTCTGGGTGCCAACTCCCACTACCCTTAACCCTGCAAGTGTAATTACTGCAGTTTTTTATAAACTGCAATAATTACCTTACAGGGTTAACTCCACCTCTAGTGGCTGTCAACTAGATCGATTGAAGTTTAGGTTTTTCTAGACAGCCACTAGAGGGCACTTCCGTGTTTATAGCACAGGTTTTCTGTGCTAGAGCGTCGCTGGACGTCCTCACGCTGTTTAAGGACCTCCAGTGCGCTCAATTCCCCATAGTGCATGCGCATTAGGTCTCCTCAGTCGGCGGGCGGCATGGGTCTCGCCCACCGGCTGACGTAAGAAAGGGGAGGAGCGGCGGCGACCCGAAACCACCGCCGAGGGACATCGGCGGGGGTATCAGGTAAGTGACTTTTCACCCATTCAGCATCCGGGGATGGGGAGTGGGTGGGAGAGGGGACCTGCAGTGCCAGGAAAACAGATTGTTTGTCCTGGCACTGGTGTGTCCCTTTAAAGTCTACGAGAACTTTTGTAGATAAGTAATTTGGAAAGTTCTAACATTATTAAATTGTTTGGACAGTTCTAACTATTAAATCGATGCCCATGTTAGGGCCATTGGTGTGGTAGTTAACTGTACACTTCCATTCACCAAATATTACTGTTTTTCTAGGAACCAAAAAAATGGAACTGCTGTCCAGGCTAAATTGAATGTATTACAGTAAATGTGACATTTATAAAACTGGTTGAGATCCTCTTCTACAGTGAACTGGCTCTCAGGCATTTTATGTCACTCTGACTGCTTTAGAAAGACATTGAACCCAGAATACCACTTGTAATACTAAGAAAATAAAAATATTACAAGTGGTATTCTGGGTTCAATGTCTTGTATAGCAGTGCTACTCACTAAACAATACATTATTTTTGAGATTAGGTGCAGATCGGATATCAAACCTTCTCTCAGTGGCATTGTGATGAAAATTGCAATGCTTATACGCTAGCCATTTGAAGTATAAAAGGGTACAAATGGTCTATTGAATTTTCAGCTTCATAATACCTCCTCAGTGCTTCCTTGTCCTTTTGAGCTGCACCCATATGACCTTTAGCCAGTAACAAGCTGTTAGATGTTATGTGACTCACACATTGCAGCATTACTGGATTTACAGATACAAGGTGCTAACAGTGGGCTAAGCAATTTTTGAATGAATTGTAAGGCAGTAATAGCTCAGGTAGCAAATATTCAGCTTCAATATCCATCTAAAATCTCATAGTCAAAGATTCAGTTCTAAGAAAGTTACACACCAGCCCTTCAAAATCCGAGATCCATAAAATGTGGATGATTAAATTGAGTAACCGTTATTGATCTGTTGTTGATGTTCCACTTGAATGTGTGCACAAAGCATTTTGAATGGCGTAGAATTGTTCTATTATCTGTTAAAATCACAATGATCAACAGTTCTAAACAATTTCTTGTTAGCATAATGTGCAATATGTAGCTGTCTGTCTTTGATTTTGGAGATGATGGATAGTCCTTGTATCCTTAATATAATAAATTTTACTTGTGTGTGTTTTTTTTTTTCCAGATTGCTGACTTTGAAAGCTTTGTGAGTTCCCTCAATGATCAAGGTTACCTACTAAAAAAAGGTCCCAGAGTTTATCAGCTCCAGACTATGTAGCATTTATGTACTGCACAAAAACGTTGTGGTCAAAGGAGAAGCGGACCTGTCCACATTCGACAATGAAGCACAATGTTTAATGTATACTTTGTAAAGCTAACTGTAAATATAAAATGCCTCTTTCTTTAATCTGCCTCTGTACTACAGAGTTATTTTGTAGGTGTGCTGTAATTGTTTAACAAATATTTGTGTGGTATATTTTATATCTAAAGTTGACAATCACGTCTCGTTCTTTATGTATGTTTGAATGTATAATCTGTACTGCGGCACATTATAGTAATTAAATTCCGTTGGAGGTCATATTGAAGTTTATTTGGGTTTGTTATAAGCTGTAGGTCATTATTTATTTATTTATTTTCAATGCAAGGGGACTGAGCAATATCAACACATGTATTAAAGTGTTTTGTTTCCTGTAAAGCACTGGACATGTCTTTACAGCTGAGGTGTAATCATGTGTAGAATAGTGACGTATGAAGGGGTAACGGGGGGTCCACTTTGGGTGATCGGCAAAAGGGGGGTGCATATCGAATCCACCTCACACCAGAACAGACACCTACCTACTGCCAACCTGCTCGCACTGGTGTTGTGTGGCAGGGACCTGCTTGATGGCTGCTTTAAATGGTTGCAGGGCTAGGCCTTGTGCCCCCTGTACTGTTGCTGGAGCTGGGATGAGATGTGATCACAGCCCTCGCAACAGCACAGAGCAGCAAGGAGTTTGAAAATCAGTGTGCACATTGACTGGCTGAAGACTTGCTTCGACTCTGCCCCAGGGGCATCGAGAGAAAAGGAAGAAGAGCTGCCAAAGGGTCAGTAGACCGAACAGAGTGTTCTCCCCATCACCAGCAAGGAAGGGAGAATCAAAAGAAAGCTGCAGTGCCCACCTGCTGTTGAGTCCTTGCAATTACAAAATGTACAAACGTTTGTATGTTCTTTGGATGATATTACAAAAGCATTACAGGCTGCTCACCACATAATGTGTGGAAAGAAGGGGTTACACCTGAGATAAAAAATATTGAATCGGTGTCGTTTGTGGAGGATGAGCAGGCTACACGTCATTCAGGCTTTAAGGAAATCTGTATTAAATAGGCAATGGGTTGTGAGGTGTCCCCGTTAGCTTTTCACCTCACCAAGCGAAAAAATTTTGGTGGAAGACTTATGTCGAAAAGCGTTTGCTGTATATTTCATGCTGTATTTCTAATAAGGACCTTTTGAGGTAGTGTATATCTTTGTTATTACATACTGCTCTTGTTTGTCTCCTGTTTTTACATTTTTTTTAATAAATTGTTTTGGAAATTATTATTCACCTGCCTGCCTTACCTGTGGACATCTATCCAAAGCCACTACTGGCACCTTAAAGCTGATAACAAAGCGCCTGGCACGGCTCCATATTTGTGAGTTTAACCATATATTTACTCACCTTATATTGTCATTTTATCAGGTTACGCTATGTATTGTTTTATTTATCTTTTTTAGAATCTTGTTGTATTCCCAACAATATTCGGATTCTGTGTTAAATACTGTTAAGTATATATGTTTTATTCTCCATTTTGGCACAGGGTGTTGTGCATATAAAATAGTGGTTTTACTTCTATTTTTCTTTACTAATGTATTTATTAGGTGAAAGGGAAAACACCTTATTTGCACATTCACCTACTACCTAACACCCAGAAGAGCCTATACACCTACTGGTTTCCAGTATTAATTTTTGTAAAGAAAAAATTTGGAGGGACAAATGTATTGACATATTGTCTTTACTGTCTAAGGAATTTAAAACTGGTAAGGATAAGAATGAGAAGGATAGAAGACCTCTGAATGCTAGATCTTTTAACAATTGGTTGCAGTCGTTCGTCATATATTCGGGAGTGCAGCTGGAAAAACATCCACATTCATGTGGGGGTTTGTTCTAGAACTTGGGAGGCATACAAAAACTTTTCCGGGCTTGCCTAGTTTCAATACGATGAATTGCTTCGGTAAAAACTGGCGGTCCATGATTAATTGAAATTGGGAATGAAGGATGTGGGACCCTGGGTTAGTCTCATGCTTCCTAAAATAAATTCAGTAAATCTATCCAGACAACCTTCTGGTGTTGTTTCCGTACAGAAAAAGAGGTGTGTGCTCAGTCTCTAATGAATCGCAGTGCAAATAGTCTAGTAATTGCAGGTTTAGGCACAAATGCACCAATTGTGCTGGTATGCATCCGGCATTTCAGTGTTTTTGAAAAGCACAGCAAAGTTTTTTGGTTTTTTTTATAATTCTTTATTTAGTCATTGCTTAGGTTATACATACATGCTTGTATCGCCCCAACAGCAGGTACAGGCAGATCAATGAGAATAGTTTAACAGTTGTGTTGTGGAGAAGGACAATGGAGGGGAACATTACTGGCGAAGGTGGTTATAGAGGCAGATTTTCACCCTTGCTGGTTTGGCTCCCTGGGCTTCCAAGTTAATGGGCAGTTCTTTCTTGACAAATGTCTTCTGATGGGTTGCTGACTCTAATGCATGTGCTTTCGACTTTTGCAACTTTCCTGAAGTGGGTCATGGTAAAGGAGTCTGGTTAAAGTGGGATTATGCATTGTCTTGTTGATTTTCGGTTTGGTGGCAGTGCAGGCTCTAGTGCAGGGGTGGGGAACCTCTGGCCCTCCAGATGTTTTGGACTACATCTCCCTTGGTGCTTTGCCAGCATTATGGGAGATGTAGGCCAAAACATCTGGAGGGCCGAAGGTTCCCCACCCCTGCTCTAGTGAATGTGAGGTTGCTGACAACTTTCAGAGAATTTTCAGAAGGGTTTGGTATTCCATTAGTGGAATAGAAGACCGTTTTACCTAATTGTTCTATTCAATTTTTGGTATTGATTCTCTAAAGTTGGAGTTTAGGCTTCCTGAGAAGATCTTGAAAACACAAAACACCATTAAACAGGTGCTGCAGAGCAGTAAGGTGTTGGTTTAGGTACTCCAGTATTTGCTGGGATTACTCTTTCCCTTCCAGAGTCATGCCTATTGGGAGTGTTTTCTCTGGAAGGATATCTTTAACAATTGCTAGAAATAAATCGCCTTTTGTGTTTGTTAGAATTTCAGCTCAGATTAGGCAGGATCTCAGAATTTGGGATGAGTTTATACAAAAGTTTAGTGGTTTTTGGAAAGCAGAATTTTTGGTCTCTGATGAACTGCAACCTTTTACTGATGCAGCCGGATCGGCAGGTTTTGGGATCTTTTGCAAGGGCAGGTGGTGTGTGCAGAAGTGGCCTTATCACTGGGTTGAGGTTGGTTTTACAAAGAACCTTACTCTATTGGAATTGTTTCCTATAGTAGCTGCAGTCTTTTTGTCTGGAAAAGAATTGAGTGGCTCTCCCATTGTTTTTCACCGTGATAACCAAAGTTATTAATTCCTTACATGCAGGGCCGGACTGGCCCACCGGGATACCGGGAAATTTCCCGGTGGGCTGCGGCACCTGGGGGGCTGCATGTAGAGAGGGAGCCCTGCTCCCTAATATTTTAATAATAACGCGGCCGCCGGCCGCATGTCGGTGCCTCCGGGTGGCTGGTCCGGCGGCACACTCTGAGGGGGGTTATACTTACCTTGCGGCCGGCGGCCCCATCTCCTGTGCTGACAGCTGTCAGTATCAGTGAGTGTGCCGGGCGGCCGCCTTAGCGATCCAGTAGCACACTCACTGATACTGACAGCCATGCGGCTGTCAGCACAAGAGGACTGAGGGAGGGGGCGGAGCTAACTACCATGCTCCCTCGCGGTTCCCATAATTCCCAGCATCTACACATCATAGAGTAAGGATTACTGTATGATGTGTCTATGCTGGGAATTATGGGAACCGCGAGGGAGCATGGTAGCTAGCTCTGCACCCTCCCTCAGTCCTCCTGTGACAAGGTCAGAAGGACACAGAAGGGGGGGAGTTAAAAAGGTTTGTTGGGGGGGGAAAGAGACATACAGTAGGGAAGGGGAATAAAGTGACACAAGATTTGTGGGAGGCAACGCTGGGCTGGGGAAAAAGAGACAGAGAGTGGCTGGGAGAAGAGAAGGAGGCACACAGAGTCTGGAGTTAGAAAGAGACACACAGAGTCTGGAGTTAGAAAGAGACACACAGATGAGATTTGGAAGGGGAGAAAGAGACAAAGTGGCTGGGGCTAAGAACAACACAAAAGGGGCTAGGGGAAAGAGAAATACAGAGGCTGGAGAAGGGTAAAAAGAAACACACAGGGACTGGGATGAAGTAAAAGATGCACAAGGGTCGCTGTAAGAGAAAAAAAGGAGACAATTGGAGACAAGATACACTAAACAAGGTAAAGGTAATAGACGTAAATTGATGTGATCCTGACAGTAATGCACACATATATATATATATGCATGTATATTGATGTGTGTATTAGTAACATATAATTATGCCTATAGTATTTACACATATATATACATTTATATATGCATAATACACACATAAATGTCATTAATATATATATATATAATGAGCACGCATTGGCCCTGTCTTGTTGCTAGTTGCATACTCATGCACAATAGCATATTCAAAGTGAAGAGCGCACCCATAGAACTTCAAAATTAACCAGATCGCTTAATTTTTTTAGTTGTGCAACTGCAGATATTCAGCATTTCAGTCCCATTACTAAAATGTCCTTCATAGGCCAAAGTAGTTGTACTGAAACATTACATGCAAATGTACGTCTACTTAAAATAAAGGCGCTCTTGTTTATTTTGAAGCCCTATATGCGTTCCTTTGTTGGAGTAAGAGTTTTCAATTTCAAGTTATTTTTTCACCCTCTTTATCAGCACACTATTGGGCTGGTATAGAATTTTTTTTCCAGGGCTGATTTTAGTTCCCAGTCCGGCCCTGCTTACATGCTAAGTATATAAACAATATTAATTTACTTTGAAATTTAGTTTTTGCTTGTTTATAGTTTAATTTATGGGTGAGAGCAAAACATATTCCTGGAAAGTTTAATATAATATCTGATGCTCTTTCCCCTTTCCAGTGGGACG